GGGCCGGGGCCCACCGGTGGGGTCCGGCCACAGCCCCCGCAGCCTCAGCGGCCCCCCGCCTGCCCCACTCGTGCAGTCCCACTGTGAGGCAGCACCCTCTCCCTCTCCCCACAACAGCTTCGCTCCTTACTTTAGGTCTGATTAAACTGTCATCTCTAACAACCAAACAAAAAGAAACCTCTTTACTTCGAAGAAAAAATATAATTATTTAGAAATACAACTTAAATGGATAATAGAAAACACAATGTACTGCTCATCAACAGTCCCTGACTAGCTGTTAGTCTTGGCTGGGCTGTAAGGCTTAGACACTTCTCACTTCATTCACATGGGGAAAGTTATTTTCACTTTATCATTATCACTCAGGCTTTTCTTTCAGGTTTTAAAACAAAGCCGCAAGCACTTGTCTGCTTTTGATTATTTTGTAACATAGCTTCCTTAAAATAAATCCTCATCTCCTGAGAATGTGACAAAATGCTAGCAGCCAAACTTCTTTTATACTGCCAGCAGATGAAGCAAAAACTCTGATTAAGCAGGGTTTGTGTTTTGTTTTGGGTTTGGTTTTAGGTTTTTTGGTTTTGTTTTGGGGTTTGTTGTTGTTTTGGGGGGTTTTAGTATTGTCCTAAAATGACAATGCCATTATGATTTCTCTCTCTTGAGATAAGCTTTCTTAAACAATTTCCCATTCTCATCCACCAACCCCTTTGCTGCGCACAGCTTCTAGGTTTCCCTTTTCACAGCCTGCAGAGGACGGGGAGCCCAGTGCCGGCACGGCGCGGTGCTCTCCAGAGAGGCCTAGGAACCCTCCCGACAGTCCCGGGACCCCAGCTGCACCCCAGCGGGTGAAGCTACTCAGGCTGCCTTTTTGTTTCATTTCTTCTCAGTTCACGTTTTTATTGGAACTCTGAAAACCCCTCACAAGTATTTCTGCACAGAAAGATTTTTCCCAAGCGCACCAATACAAAGCCCTTTTGCAAAGCTAAAATCAAAGCTAAATAAAAAAAAAAAAAAATCCACCCCTCCAATGACGAGGACAGGCACTGAAGCTCCAAGGCAGCCAGAGCTACGGCAGCGTGCAAGGGCGGTAAATGTGACCACTTGGGATGGACGTGCTGCTCTGTGCCAGCGGGACTCCTGCAAGGGCAGACCTGAAGGAAACGTTCACAGGGATTCAGTTCCCATGTATTTTTTCTTTGCAATAACAGCTGTTACGATAATGGACAATTAACTTCTGGTACTTCAGGCAGAACGTGTCTGATGACAGGGGTTTGAGGAGATATTTTTCCAACGAGTACTACATTAGCTGCATTATCATTTCCCTAACCCATCTTGTATCTGCGAGCAGTAAAAGCAGGACACCCATTTCTCTACACGAGTGACTTGCTGCAAGACGGAAAAGCTGTAGGGATGAGAGAGCTCCTTCGACACGATGGAAACCATCACTGCTGTGGCCCTAGCAAGAAGATACCTTTGAAGTTCGCGCCCTTGCGAAGTAACTGACCTAAAGCCAGGAATACAATTTACGGCTAGAGACACTCTGCTCCAGTGTAACGTTGCTAGTTAACTGATCTCTGTGGTTTTTCAATATTTTTTAAAATGCCTAGACTGTTTTAGAACACTGGCCCCTCCTCCAGTAATCTGCAGAAAGAATACTTCTCCAGCAAAAGAAATTGTGTAAAATAGTATATTTGTGCGAAACTGATATCCAACATTCTCCAGCCCTAAAAAAACCCTATCAATCCAGAAAAACAATTTAGGTGTCCAAATTTTATCTTAGTCCTTGAACCGCAAAACTACGTAAGTGGTGGCTACCCTGGGAATACCCAGATGGCAACTTGGTTTCAACACAAATTTTCTTTTTGCAGATCCCCTGAAAGGCTCAATCTAATAGAAACAATTTCGAAGTGTCTGAGAAACACTAAAGCCTAAAAGCTTTTTGCAAATTACTGCATTATCAAAGGAAATGGGCTGATTTTAAAATCATATCCCAGTGACACCAGCACGTATCCATCACGTGGGACACCAGTTTCAACTGTCTTGGCCACCTCCCGAGGTTCAGCCTACAGCTCCTCTCGCACTTGTGATCTTTGAGCCTGTTCTAGCCACCAGCTTCTGAGTTACTCTGGATGAGGGGCGCACACACCACCCGAAGCACCTGAAACGACGGCCAACTGCACGAGAGAACGAAGGGATGAAGGTGACAGGTGAAACTCACCGTCAGTCTTCTGAGCAGGGACCAGAACTATTGTTTACTTTAAACAGCCATTAAATGCAATATACGAACAATCTTTGTGGCAAGTATGGAACCAAGATCTGTATCTCCCGCAAATTCATACTGCAGCTTATAATCCAAAACAAGTCACCAAGCACAATTCTCCACTCTGCTCATTACACTGTTACTGCAACCCCATCTTCTCCTTCATCCATTTCTTTTGACGACTTTCACCCCCCTCAGGATAGCGATGATTCGCGTAAGTGTTCAGCAACTCAGGTGGGTGCTACCGGAGCATAAACACTTCCTGGTGCTGAGGAGCGAGCAGCCCTCCTGAAACACGCGAACCCGCCTGGGGCAGTGCCTCCGAGCAAACCCCCGCAGCAGGCGGCTGAAGGGGACTAAACAGCAGTTCATGAGCACATTAATACAAAAAGATACAGATACAAAAAGATGCCAGCTGTTTGGCTGGAAGATGGCTACAAGTGTAAACTAAAAACTGTAGTGAACAGTTTCAAAGCTAAAAAAAGTGGAGAAAATGTATAAAAATCCATCTTTTTGGGGGGGAAATCATTATGAATGGACGGCTGCTCTATCTATTCCATCTTCCAACATTACAGATCCCTAATGGCACCCCTCCTTGCAGAAAGCAAAGAAAATTACAAAATCCCGGCATCACTCGGACTTTGGCCATTTTCTACAGACCTTGTAGGTTTTTCTTGGATTTGTCCTGACCTCTGCACAAGAGTAAGAACATCAGGTCACTGACAGCAGGCCAGCGCAGAGTTTTTTACCCTTTCTTATCTATACTATCACAGAGGCTCCACCAGCGCTGCTGACGGGCTCAGCCTCGGGCAGCAGCAGGTACATTTGGAAAGCAGCCGGAGCGCGCTCTGTCTGACACTGGGGCAGCCCTCCCCTATCCCGAGAGCAGCCTCCCCTGCAGCACGCGTCTGTCCCCGGCCCCCTCACCACTACCAAAGCCTCGCCACGTAAACCCAACACAGTGGCTCCTTAAGGAAAGGCGATTTATTCCTTCCTGGTGTGCCCTCCTCTGCCTCCCAGGTTCCTGAGCATCTCATGCCTGCCAGCTGCTTGCGTATAGCCAAGGACAATATGGGTCGAGGGGAGATCTTCCCAGACTCACAGAAAGAAGAGAATAACACACTCAGGCCCTTCTGTCTAGCCAGAGTTGATCAGCTATAAATGGAAGGTCTCTAGTGTAGCTCTGTTCCTAAGAGCTATCATTACAGAAGAAAGAAGTTGGTTTTTTTCGGTTGTGTTTTTGTTTTTTTATTTTTTTGAATTTGAAAGCCTACCATACAAGACTTAAACTTTGCCAACACAGTGGCGCCCAGTTCAGAAATTCCTGTTTTAACCAATTATTGCACTTACGTTTGAATGTCTTAACTAGACTTCATCTAAAAAGAACACTGACCTGGGGAATTATTTGTTTTCCTTTTTAGTTTTAACCAATACCTATTTTAGCTTTGACTTAGTAAGTTTATTGACACTTATCTGCAATATAATTTCTCTGCAGGTGCATTTGAAAATTAAACTATGCATCACAGATCCATAGTAATCAACGTGACATCATCAAGGCCGCAGCCTTTCAAGGAAACGATTACAAAAATTCCTTCATTGATTACATACAGGGGGCAGTAACAAATACAGAACCTTGAGACTGAACTGAAAATGATCTCCATTGGTGTGGAGACAAAGTGGGAGGCACCACATCATGAACTACTTTCCAAACCGACAAGCCAATTACCACTTCTATTACCAAATTCCTTGCATCACACCCACCTTGGACAAGAAGTTATTTTAAGGTCCTTCAGATAATAGAGGTTCACAACGGTGAAATACTGACAATGCCTTCGCACGAGTCCTCACCTCACTCTCGATAAAACCACTGCAGAGAAGGCCCTATCTGGGCTTTGTACCTCTGGGCTTTTTTGTAAATTCAAAGCCTGGTAGAACACGATTCCCTCCTGCTGCTGGAACTGAGCAGAGCAGAACAAAAGGGACAGCACGCTCTGAAGCATCAACTATTGCTTCCACGTGAGCCGTTTCGGTTCTCAGACGGACAGCCTGAACACCACTGCTACAAGCAACGCATTTGACTGTGCGGCTCCGTTCAGCTGTGCGCAACCTGACTGACTGAAAGCTTCTTCCTGATGCAAGTCTCAACATTTACACATTTTACCAGCTAAAGGCTCATTTTTGATGAATAGGAGCCTTCATTTGAACTGAGAAGGAAAATAAAGTGAAGTGTCACACAAATGCAAATTTTCTGGGCTTATGAATCACAAAAGCCCTTTACACCTGACTAATCCAGCCCCTTACTAAAAACAACGCTTACCGGTGTTGTAGGCAGTAGGCATGGCCGAATACACCAGTCCCTGCGGAGGCAAGCTCGGAGTTGTCACAGACACCACAGGGGTAGCAAGAGGCTGTGTAGACTGAGAACTGCTTATCCTTTGGGTATTCTATAAATTATTAAAAATAACAACATGTCTTGTGATATCAGTTAGAACAATGGAAACTCAAGTGCTAATATAAAAATAGCATTCCGTTAAAATGTGTTTCTTTATTTTTTAGTTACAGATACATCCTTTTTGTCAGGACAGATTCTAAACAAGGCAGAACACTTCAAGACAACCAGAATGATCTTGGCAAACTGAAATAAGAAATTAAGACTCACTGGTCCACTTCCCGTGCATGCAGATTTCAATAGTGTTAGAGTTGTGGGACATCAAACCAAATGCAATTTCTTAAGGATATATACAACAATTCTCAGAAGTTCTTAAGTGATTTAAGAGTTTTTATTCTTATTTTTTAAAGGGGTTTTAGTGCATATGGTGAGGTGCAGTTCCACCAGAAGTCTCCCACTTCCCAGTTGTTCATCCCATTTTCAGAATTTTAGCTGCCAGTTTTGACACTGTGCTGACTACACCTGTCCTGAAAGGAACACAGAGATCTTCTAAATTTGTGTTGATAAGACCTCAGTGATAAAATAATCTTGCTGTTCCCATGGTTCCTGAGAAACCGAGAGAGTACTTGTTATAATGCAGTTATGTTTCAAAGCAAATGACGCTTCAGTTCACACAGAGCAACTGTGCTTTTTTGACAGGAAAAATAGCTAAACTAGATTGTCGCAGATGATCTGTTCTAACTGTAGGCACGACGTGGCTCTTTAATAACAGTCTGTCCTTCCCATATACCGGAATGAACATCTGTAGCAAACACAGCACTCCAGCCCTTCAACGAAATCTGCTGTTTCGAAAACCTTGTATTAAACGCTGTGGTGCATACCACCAGACAGCAAAGCTTCTCTGCCACAGAACGTACCAAGCTTCAGGGAGGCAACTTTAAATCGTTCTTCAAAAGACATCGTTCAGCACGTTTTTCAACACATTTAGCCATGCCAGATACTGTCAAGAACAGCAAATGCTGCATTTGTTTAAACAACAGATACTTAGTTTTACCTACAGAAGTCTTAGAAATACTAGAAGTAGGAGAAGTCCCTACACTCTGTATTTCTGCATACTTACAGAACCGTTCCCGATTAAAGGAGCTTGATTTCAAACCGCTGAAAATGTGTTTTCAAAGCAAACCTCCCTCCATCTCTGAAAAAACATTTGCTACAAAAGCAGCAGTTTTTCATCTCTGGTAGAGTTCCATTTCCTAACTTTAAAAGATGGAAGCTACTACTACTTTTTCCTTATTTTGGACAGGTATACAAGTATTTCAGTATCTGCAGCACTGTTTTTCCTCCAGTCTGATCTTGAGAGAGCGAGCAGTATTAAAAATGCATGATTCCCTTCCTAATAACGGAATGAGCAGGTACAGAAACATGGCTCTCTTCAATTTTAAGCTTAAACTTGCGAAGATGAATTGAGGGCTCTCAATCTTCGGCTTGTATCTTTCCATTCCAAAGAGAAAAGAATACCACAGCTACCTTATTAAAATTAGCTACAACCTTCCACTGGCTGCCAGCTTCTGATCTCTGTTGAAAGCCCATCTTTGAGCCTCCTAAGAACTTGGAGGTTCTTTGGCATCTGGTCAGCAGAGGTACCCACTCCGCTGCCAAGCTCCCAGATTTCAAAGCTCGAAGTCAGAGAAAGTCTCACCGATTTTCTGTGTAATTCATCCCTTTAAATCACTTATGTACTTCTGAAAATCTCCACTAGACCAAGTTTATCTGGCATAAAGATACATTATTAGAGCAGATTTTTGTGTCTGTCAGGAATTGACCTTTTTCCAAAGCTTTCTTGGCTGGCAGCCTATAAAGTTGGGATTACTGTATAATGGAAAAGTTAGAGGAGCATACTAGGAAACAATCCAGACCAAAGGATTTCCCCACGGGAATTTTTTTTTTTCTTTTTTGAGTGGCTAAAGGTGGTTTAATGAGGTAATTTATTTCTGAATATAATTCCTGAACACTGAGCCATACAGAGACATTAAGAAATATTTAGATGTGTCTAATCTTTGTTGTACTCGGAGATTCAGCCGAAGCTTCACGACAAGTTTCAGGATTTTTGATTTTTTTTTATTATTATTTTTTAAACTGGTGCAAACGATAGCAGTAACAGGAAGAATCTGGTATCTTTATTCCATGCTATGCTGCCATCCTTATCAGTTTTTCGTGTCCAGTGCTCAGTTCCAACCATACAGAACAAACGTTCACAGACAGAATCTGGAACTGCTCTCTAGCACTGCAATTAGCATCAGAAATTCGCATACTAAGAGACGTAACATTGCAGGCGTACTTGGTACTTCTTTACCGCATTTGAGGAAGACACTACCACATTTTCTTCGCGTCAGCTTCCCTCCCGCACCAGTCGAGCCCAGTTGTTCACGCCACCAGAGGGCCCACGCTCCATGCAGCAGCCACAGACCAGCCCGTCGCTGCTGCACGCCGCAAAGAGCTCGGCAGTTCTGAGCAGGTGGGAAGACCTGAATTCAAGGGCTTTTGCATTAATTCCCATTGCAATGGTGTTTGGATTAACTGTTTTTACGTTGAATTAGAGCTTTAGTTCTGGAAACCAGACACTTCGCTATAGAGGTGAGAAGAACCATGCATGACAGCTGCTCAACTGCTTGATTAGCAAGTCATTCCAGTAAACCTTAAAAACTTCAATATTAACTTTCAAAAACCATTTCCCCTCACTTTTGTAAATATATTGCTCATATTTAAGGAAAAAAAAAAATCAACAAACAGCATGCATTCATCAAGAAATTTATCTAAATCACTACATTTTCCATGCTTTCATGCAATTAGAGCCTCATATCAGCAACAGGTCCATGTTCAAAGACAAATCAAGGCACGCAATAGGCAGACTTCTTTGTCTTTACAATTGCACTCTGATGCAGCCTCTTCTGCATGGTTTGTGCTACAGCAGCTAAACAATTTGTAAATTGCTCTAAAAATAAGTTACAAATTATTTTAGCCTTACGTTATTTTCCAGACAGAATGCCAAATGTTTAAACCTTTTTGAAAAAATACAAATCCCAAGAGTTTCCTTTCAAAAGCAAAATATCTTTCCACTGGAAAAAAGGTAGATTATTCATTTCCAATACTTTATTCCTTTTGGTAAACAGGGAACACCCCTGTGGTTTGATAATCTCACACAGGATGAAATAATTCTAAACTCCAAAAAGGTGACCTCACCAGCAATGATGTAATCTCCTTGAAAATAAGAGAAGTAATACAGGGCTTGTGTTACAATCTGAAGCACTTGAGGAGTGAAGCCACTTTCTAAAAATATTCCAATAATTTACGGGATAAGTGGTTATTTATATTTTACATAAAAGACAGTAAATATCCTATGCACATGGACAGTTACTCTGCAAGGCTCTGTTCCAATGTTCCCTCCAAGAAAAACAGAAATATTTTCAGGAAAAAAAGAAATAGAAGTTTACAAATGGAAAGTGCTAGACTTTGGATGTGCTTTTAACTTGAACTGGCTGGGTTTTGAGTTTGATAAAACAAATGTATTTTTGTCTGCTACCAAGGGAACACTGGAATTATTTAAAATATGTAATGAAACTACAGTTCAAAAGCTGTAGTAAAAGACATTTTCAGCATATTGCTGTGTCTCATCAAACAGCAGCCCAAACTCACCAACTCCAATTCATCCTCCTCCGACTGTACTCAGCAAACAAGAGGGATAACACAGTTACTAAAAATAGCATTGCTTTCAAAAAAAGACACGTTTGTACTTCAAGATTTCTATTTTTTTTTAATTAATAATGTGAGTTTGCCACCTGATTCTGTAAATAATACTACCAGGAAGCACAACACTTTACGTACTTCAGGTCAATTAAAAAAATACTTTGCTGAAAGTACACATGCTTTGTCAAATGTAACACAGAAAGAACTTCGCAAAAACAGGGACACAGCTACACACTGGCAACACATGTAGATATGGAGCACAGCAGCTTCTGGCTGGACTGATCCAATGACCATCCAGCTCAGTAAAAAAAAATATTTTTCACACACAGCCATCATACCACCCCAGCATCTCTACTCTGAAATCTCCCTCCAGTTGCCTCAGAAAGACAGACAAAACCTAAATTGAGTATTATGTTGATCTTAACAACACAACAGTAAATAGCTACTCTAGACTACTAACATTAGAACAACTGCATTAACAAGCACCTCATCTTGTACCTATTTCTAATTAATTTAAAAGTGTAATTTTCACTTTAATAATCAGCCAGTGTACTTCCTACGTCTTCTACACTTTAGTATTCCTAGAAAAACCTGCAACTTCAAGAATCATTAATCTGAGGATAATTATAGCTTTTGTTACTTGGATTAATTTTGTATTATTCATCATGAATACCAGTAACAAATGTAAGCACTTGTGGTATCTTAAAAACAAGTAAGACTTATACAGTGAGTACTTGTATTGTTTATATCCTGCTCCTCTTGGTTACTGTTTGTTCTTCCATACACAGAAAACAGAAAATGTACACATAGATGTTTAAAATTTCTACATGACAGTGAAAGACTAAGACCAAAGGATCTGGCCAGCCAAATTAAAGGAAAAATAGAGTAACTCTTCCTGAAAGACCAGTTCTGGTCTCAATGCTGTGGTTGCCTCATGCCTGACACGAAACTTGTGTGCTATTCCAAATCTAGGCTGAACAAACATTCGTACCAACATGCCAAACTGCACAGCAGTATTGAAAAGTACACAAATAGCGACCAAGCCTGACCCTCATGACTCTTCTATGCCTTCACTGAAGACATGACATCCACTGTAGGACACACAAGGTTGCATTCCAGCATACCACATCAAGCAAGCTTTTCTCTCAGACCATCATTACCACTGAAGCTACATTTTACATCCCACAACCATTATGACCCAGGAAAAACAGGTACAGAGTGTGCTTCAGGGCATATAAATACAGTTCACATCAAAAACAGTGTCAGCCATTCCTCCACAGAATAATGCATAACTCTTTTTAAAACCCACATCCTCCAAACCAACGAAGGTCTTGGCACCGAGTCAGTGAGATGTCAGATCAAAACAACAAAATCCCAATCAATGTCTCTAGGATTGCACTCTAACTGCAGTCAGGTCAGACTGCTATTTTACACTTTAAAAACAATCCTTACAAATTTAACTTCTCCCAAGGTAACAACTTATAACTTAGATTTTCATTAGTAAAGTTTAAGAGGAGTACAAACACCTTTCTATTACTGTAACCTATGGTAAGCAGAGGAGGTCGTTCCTCCCTGTGCATGTGGACAGAACACTTCATTTTCATGAAGTCAGTCACAGAACAAATGTTTTAACTTACCAATGGGGGCATCATACCCTTGCTGGAGGGTGGGATGACAACACGGAGGTCGGGTTTGCGATTGTTCATTCCAAGATTACCTCCTCCAGGCGGAGGTGGAGACTTGGTAGGCATGACTTTGCCTAAGCCGTTCCCACCACCAGTAGTTCCGAGCAGACTTGGTGAAGCTCGAGAATTCACAAACCCATTTCCTGAGAGAGGAAAAACAAATGTACCGTTAAGACTGCAGAGAAGTAGCAATACAAAATTTCGGTGCCCATGTACAAATTACGAAATATTTCTTTTGTAAAGCTTCCAATAACAATCTTCTCATGAGAGGCGCAGTATTGAATAATCGAACAAACAAAAACCACTTTCACCAGAAGATCAATATGTAAAGGCAATATCACCTCAAGGGCACACTGTGGCAGCTTAAACACTGAGAAGAGCATATTGCCAAAGAACTATTTCTAATAACATCTGTTGTGGTTTTTTTGTCATTTTGCCCTTCGAAGTTCCTCTAGGCTGAGCTTGCAAAAATGAGAGTGCTTCTGCACAGCCCCATTTCATCCCCACCCCCACAGAACAGGAACTATACTGAATTGTTGCCTGTTAGAATAAAAAAAATCAGCTCTTAAAGTCTCTATTTCTAAAATGTATTCTTCAAATGTCTTCAAGATCTGCAGGACTCTGGTATCTATTCCCTAATAAATTAATTTCAGTCTCAAAAACGTATACTGCGTGATTACTGTGTTTAGCCACAATGAGGGGAACAAATCCTTTCCCTTCAAATGAATTCCAAGCTCTGGACACAGATACACACATCATTTATGCCCATCAATTTATTTGACACACGTCTTTCTCTACCTTACTCCTGATATTCATTCTGAGTAGAATTAGACAAGCCAAAGCCTACAGGTCCTGGATTTGGCACAGAAATCTCCAAAAGTTGATCTCAAGATACAGGCCTTAGCTTACACTCAAAACCGATCAGAAAAAAGTAACAAGACAGTAAAACAGCAAAGTGCCTCGTATTCTGTTTTCCTGTACTAACAAAAGCACCAATCATGTTAAGCAAAAAATATTTCTCAAAAAAATTACAGCCGCATTCCAATGATTTTATCATATTTATAGCAACAATTCCCAAAATACACACACCTTATTCAGCTGCAAATGAAAAAAAAAGTTGTTAAGCGAGGGGAACTTTGCAACAGGGAACCCTATAGTTCACACTACAGAACTTGTGTATGTGTGCGTATAAATAAACACAATTCGTAGTAAGATCGTGTTTATACTAACACTGCAGCTCTGAAAGCAGCCTTTATAGTCACAATTCAGAGAGAAGTCTATTACACAAAGTTCACTGTGGGGGAAATTCTCTTCTAATAACCCGTAGCGCCATACTGGCATGAATTTTGTATCATTATTCTAATTTGAATAGGCCCCTATACCCAATGAATTTTCTTACATTATGTACATATTAATCTAAAAGCAATTAAAATAAGAAAGTTGTCAGTGTCACATTCAACCTTCTTTAGAAAAAATTTTAATGCCTTTAATAGAAGAACAATACCACGTATCATTAAGAGCACAACCTTCCACAAAGGTGACTGTACTGCGAAGCTACTGAGCTAGTGTATGTTGAGAACCTAGGCGTAAATTCACCAGGATGCTAACGAGGGAGCCTCCTCCCTTACTACTGATCCTCGTTACACGGTGGGGGAACTGCCAGATGCAATCCTCTCCTTTTCCCTGTCCACCACAATTGGAACCCTACATACTGTTCTATCATGTTACAAATGGAAAAAACGAAGATTAATGTAAGAATTAGAACAAAGCTCCTGTGTTGATGTGAAGATATTCTACTGAGTTTTATAAAGGTCTTCCAGAAACAAAGTTATTGCTAAATATTTTTAAAGAAAAAAAAATTATAAGTAGGTAGAATTTAGTGGGATTTGCAACCACAGTATTCTTGCTCACATATGGTTGAGCAGTAAATTCACAACTCTAAAGCCAGGATTTCAAATTCTGGATTTTCTTTCTTTGTGGATTTCCTACTGTGCCAAAAGCCTGACCGTACATGGATGATCTGATATGTCCCTTCAGTTTTTCAAGGTTCATAGAGCAAGGGGGAGTTATTCTAATTAAGTACTTTCCCGAATCATTTCTATGGGAGGCATGGGAATATGTTTTCTGAGAACTCTACCATTTAACTCTGAAGTTATGGGGGAAAGAAGGCACACAGCAGAAGCAGCAGCTTTTTATGCCAGCATTCTTCCTTCTCTATTAAAAAACACAGCAAAATCTCATTTTGTGATTGAAGCATCCACATTCCTCAGCAGAAAACAGCAGAATTTATTGGGATGCTTGTAGGTTGGTGAAAAAATTTAGTCATAGTGGCTGAAAAATTGTGCTTGAGCTGATAATACATTGTAGACTTAGATATCCTCTTGACTGCTAGGAGAAAGCTAGCCACAGCTAGGTCACATCGAAAAGACAGAAAAGAGAAACTAAGTTCTGTGCTACCCCTAAGGTTCCTGAAACTGTGAGACAGTTTTCATAGAACCTTGGCTTTGTTAAATACAATTATGCATCAATGCCTATCCATTATAAATGAGTGTAAACATTAGACAGCGTACACAGCATCAGATTAGAAGATAATTCTTGCACAATGGACATAGTAAAAATTAAGTGGACTTGGAAACAGATGTGACTGAGGAAAAGTTATTAGAAAATAGCATAATTTTCACCAAATTATATCTTAAAAAATGGTACAGCATCTTCCATTTTCAGAAAAAATGCCAGAACATTTTAAGAACTTACTGTTATAAAAAAGTCCAGGCTTTAATAATAAATAGCATTTTATTACTCACTAGGCTGTCATGTTACCTTTTATATGCCAAAGCTGCGGTGTTCTGACTTGAATTTAAACTTCAGAACAATAACACTCTGTATAAACAAAGGGAGTTCTGTACAGCATTTTAGTCTATCCTATGATACCATTTCCTGTCCTCTGTTTTCAAGTATTTCGGTAGCTCGTGTGTTAAATCTGGACAGTGTCTCTCTTCCACACCCAATACAGTCATTTCCTGCAGCCCTTATTACAAGGCCCTGCCAACCCTTCAGAAACATTGCATGCTTTTAGTGGCGCTGTCAAAAACAACACACTCCTTGCCACTGCCTTCTCTGCGCAACATCATTCAGCAGCAGGGCAGAGTCAAAGCATTTGTTCTGACAAAAGGCTAAGGAGTTCTTACAATGAGACTTCAGAAAAAATATATTAAGAATGGGAAAAACAAAAACGTCGTAAGTGTGCAATACTATGGGTATTAATCTAATAGCAGCCCTTTGTTGCAAATAGCAAGCACCGAACATCTAACAAACACTGGAGTATCTATACTGCTTATTTGACATGCTCGGGCTGCAATAAGACTGCAGAATATTCATTTTTAATATGAAACCTGAAGTCTTTTTTCCTGTTAATAATCTAATAAGAAAATCAAATTACAAGTTAAGAGTGAAAGGATAACTAAAAAGCATGGTATTTCTTAGAGTAAGGTCAGGAGCCAGGAAAAGATAATGACTACAGGATGATGCAACTATACGGCAGTTTGCCAAACAGAGGCTATAACAACCCCATAAATTCTACTTACTATTTTGTATATTACAGAACTTGTATCTTCCCCCAAGGCAATTACTTTATGTTTATAACACTATTAAACTGAAAAATAGGAGCAGAATATAAAATCCCACATAAGTGTAAAGTAAGACTACTGTTTTTACTTCCGTCAGAAGAGTCTTATTTAACTCTAATTCTTTGCAACATATTATGAAAGCATGTTCAAAATACTTCTTTGGAAAACAGACACCAATGCAAAGATTATAAGCTCTCAATTATATGAATCATAATTTAATTCGATTTTATGATAACAAACGTTGCCAATGTACATTAGCCTATTTCTTGTTTAGTCAGAAAATGTCTACTTTTGAAGTTACTTCTTTTCTGAACCCGAATGTTGAAACCCAGCCATTTTAACAACTGTATATTCTGCCTTCAGAAACGTAATACAGCTTAATCTCATTTACTGTCCTGCAGCCCAAGATGTAGCATCCAATTACATGAGCCAGACTCATATTTCACTGCATAAATCACATCAGCTGAAACAATGAACACACGTGGCTGGAAAGTACTCTATGTACTTATTACTACTCAAGGAATAAATTACAGTCATTGATGCCATTAATCTCTTTTTGTGGTTCACCTTTGGAGAAACTGAACAGTTACACAGTCTTGGAAAATAATTGTGGGCAAGCAGCTAAGCAATGTAAGATTAAGCAAAAATAAGAAAGGTAGTAAACAAATGTTTATGCCTCAAATGACATCATACAACAAATGTCACATAATTAGAAGTAAACTGAAAATTGTGTTTGCAGTAAGCCAATTCACTCTGCACCTAGAAGACAGGGGGAGGGGGGAAGGGATGTATTGCAAGTAAATACAACAACAGGACTTCTATGTGCATTAGTTGCTCAATTTATTTACCCCCCCCTTTTTTTTTAAAGTATGACAGCTTTAAGTGAAAATTAAAAAAAAAACAAAACAAACAAAAAAAACCCAGCATATGCCATTCTATGAACATTCTATTTTCAGCTTTGCACAGAAATCACTGCCGATTCTGCCACCATTTCAAAAAACCTAAGTTCTATGCTAGCTTTGGAAAGAATTTACTACAACGTCATGGAAGCTGAAATAAATGTATTACCATTGATCTTTACAAATCAATACTTCAGATAATACTATGATTAGAATTAAAATAGACCTTTGACAGCAATATTAGATTTTGAAACATGTCAAACGTAAGATTTATACTTCTAAGGCAGTAGTTCAGATGTTAAAACACAGCAAAAAGAAATACATATGACTAAGTGCCAAGGGAATTCTTACTCATGTTATAAAACAAAACAAAAAAACCCTCATTTCCCAGGTTGCTGGCAATTTTTTCTTGCCTAAAGCTACACAGAAGTAGAGACAATTTTCAAGGGTATTTAGAATTTAAAATGGGCCTTCTTCGAGACCAGGACTGTTATTCAGAATGCAGCAGCAAACCTAAAACAAAGGCATACTGCTTTTGTATTTAAGTGTCATTCACCTTTGTGTGAAACATTTGCAGTGACAACTGGATGCCCTTTAGGTCTTTTGTCAACTAAACAG